GAAATGCCCGATGTGAAGACAAGCTTTTGGTAATTGAGGGGAAAAGGGTAAATTATGACAGATTATTCAGAGAAGCTTTAAAAATGTTAAGTGAATAAGAAAAATGTATTCAAAAGCTGTTAGACAGTTCTGAGAAGACTAATTCAAGGCTAATTGGAGTTAAAGACAAACAAGAAGACAGCACACTTCGCATAAAAATTCTCTTTACAGAAATTATAATCAAAAGCTTTTCAAGTATAAGGAAAGACTTCAACATACAGGTATGTGAGGTATACAGAACTTCAGCCAACTATGACAAGAAAAGAAACTTGGCACGATACCTCTTCATCAAATTTTCAGATGTTTATCAAAAAGAGAGAATGTTAAAAGCTGTCAGAGGAATGCAAAATAAATTCACATACAGTGAATCCTTTACTTATGCACTCAATTTGTTCCAGAGCCCTGCTTGTAACTGAGTCAACTGAAGGCTCAGGCTCTTCTACACCGCCTTCACAGTCTCCCTCCCACACATAGGCAGATCTCAGAGTCCTTAGACACTGGCCCAGGATTTTTCAAATCCATACAGAAAAATATGTTGTAGTGGTCCTTCCAGAACTTGTTAAGGGTTGAATTTGTATCTCAGACCATCTGGAAGCACAAGTGGCCAGCATTCTGGTTGCAACTTAAGACTTCAGTTGTAAGTTGAAACTAAAATTCCAGTCATAACCAAAGTTGTTCTTATGTCAGGCTGGTCATAACTAAAAGAACCACTGTATAAAGATACACCCTTTAAGGTTACTGCAGACCTCTCAACACAAACTCTAGAGGCCAGGAGAACCTGGAGTAATGTATTTCAAATCCTAGGAGCAACCGACTTCCAACCTAGATTAAGATATCCTACAAAACCTTCTTTCAAAATATATGAAGAAATAAGAACCTTCTATGAGAGAGAACAACTTTTGAGGTTCAATCTCCAAAAAATACTCAAAAATATCCTAGCATGAAGCATGAAGCCAACACAGCCTAAAATCTAGATATAGTATATACATCAGGCAAGGCAAATAGATAAAAAAGAAAAACAAACAAACAAAAGGAAATACAAGGCAGGCATCAACACAAAAAGAACAAAATGGCAAGAATAAATCAACAGTATTCTGTGATAACTCAGTGTTAACAGCCTTAACGCCATGATTAAAAGACACAAAAGACTGGATAAAAAACAGAACCCAGCAGTCTGTTGTGTTCAAGGAACCAACCTAATAAAAAGATGCTCATAGACTAAAAATTAACACATGGAAAACAATACCTCATGCACCAAGACTTGAAAAGCAAACAGGGGTAGCAGTTTTATTCTTAGCAAACTTCAAGTTAATGAAGAGGCGCTAGAAGAGGCAAAGAAGATGCCTTACTTACTAGTTAAGGCAACAATCTAACAGGAAGAGATAACAATTTTAAATATATATACACCAAAGCCTGGAACATCTACCTTCATAAAACAATACTGGTGAATACAAAAGATCAAATAAGCATGAACACAATCATAGTAGGTGATCATAATACTCTTTACCAAAGACACAGAGCAACAAAACAAATTATTCACAAGAAATATCAAAGTTAAACCACATCTTTGAACAAATGGACTTAATAGATACCTATAAATATCTATAGATATTCTTCCCAACAACAACAAAATACACATTCTTCTCACTAGCATGTGGATTTTCCTCCAAAATAGACCCCATACTAGCTTACAAAGCCTACTTCAAGGAATACAAAAACAGTCACCTGTATACTATCCAACCACTGTGCGTTGAAATTAAAAATCAAACCCAGCAAAAGCCACAACAATATTAGAAACTGGAAAAAGCGAGAAAATTAGAAAATTAGAAACAGTGTCACACTCCTGAACACTCAGTGGACTACAGAAGAAAACAAAGAAGGAATTAATAATTTTGGAAGCAAACGACAATGCCAGTACAACACATCAAATCCTATAGGACACAACAAAAGCTGTCCTAAGAGGGAAGCTCATCGCAGTCAATGCTCACATTAGAAAAACAGAATGAACTGAAAGAAACAACGTAATGATGACCCCAAGATACTCAGAAAGCAGCAGCAACCCAAATGCAAATCCAAGTTTTAAGGAAGGACATCATAAATATCAGAGTAGAAATTAATGAAATTGAGACTAAATAAACAATACAAAGAATTAAAAAACTTGGACTGGTTCTTTGAAAACAAAATGTGGTATCTATATGTATTGGAACATTAATTGGCTCTAAAGAAGAATGAATTAGAGACATTTATAGGAAAATGGATATATCTAGGAAACATAATGTTGAGTGAAATAAATCAGACACACAAATTTAAATAGTAACTACCCACAATGACTGCAATCAGTATAGCTTGTAAACATGAAATAATAATAATAATAATAGTAATAATGGTGAAAAGGGATCTAGAGAAGTAGGATAGGAGTTAGATGGGGCACAGAAGGGTACTAAAAAGAATGAAGATATGTTCAGTGCTTCCTAAGATTAATATGAAGATCGTGTACTTCAAATCTATACTAATAAAAACCCTGCTCATCCATTGTGAAACTCATTTCTCTTAGATCTGTGTCTTCTCATAGTCATTTTCATGTTTATTGTACAATAATGTCTCAGTTACTCTTCTCATTGCTGAGGCCAAATACCAGACACCCCAGGTTAATGGGGGAAGGACTGATGCAGCTCACTGTGTAGAGGTTTCAGTCTGTCTGGCTCCAAGGCAGGGTGGTGTGGCAGAGAGGCAAGGCAGAGGAGGAGCAGTCCATGGCAGGCAGGAGGTGGGGTGGTGGCAAAGCAGGGAGTAGTGAGGCAGCGAGCAGCGAGTGACAGGAGCAGACACAGCAGCAGAAGCCTCCCTTTGGGGGCCATCCTGGCAACACTACACCCAGGGCGGGCCTCCCATCCTCCACTCTCTTGATCCCAACACCTGCACTCTAAGTCCAGAGACTTGAAAGCACGTGAGGCTCTGGGGACACCTCTAACACAAGCCATAACACATGCTATCAATAGAACTATTAAGTAGTAAGGTCCACAACACTCTATAGAAATCTAAGCATAGTTTAGCTGTATTTTTTTTTTGAGACAGGGTCCTGATAATGTAGCACAACATGGCCTCAAATTTGCAATCCTCGTGCCTCAGCCTTCAGGATGCTGCATCATAGGTGTGCACATCATGCCCAGCTCAGTTACTGCATTTGAAAAATACGGTTTTAAACTAGATTATAATCTGTGCTTTGTTGTAGAGAAAAAAATAAACTTGTTCAGGATTATTTCTTTTTAAAAGAAATCTAGGCCTTTGCAAAAAGTATTCTTTGAAGTCTGAAGAACCTGCCCTTGTTTCTGGGGAAAAAAAAAGTGGTTTGAAGCATAGTAGTACCTAAACTACTTGTTTATTTCTGTTTTCTAGCAATTCACAGCTAAGTCTTCTTTCTTTCCTTTTGCTTCCATCCGTCCCTCCCTCCCTTCTTTCCTCCTTCCCTCCCTCCCTCCCTGCCTACCTGCCTGCCTCCCTTTATTTTTTAGTTTTTCAGATTGGGAGCTTGCTATGCTTCTAGGGCTCAAGTGATCTTGCTGCCTCAACCTCCCCAAGTATCTGGGACTATAGCGTCATACATTTGATTCACTGTCTCTCTGTCTCTGAAAATAGTGCTTTCAAGTCTCTTCCTGTCTCAAATGCCTTGCCCAAGCTATGATCTTGCACAAGATGTACGGTGCTTTAACTCTGTTCATTTTCCAGTATTATGTGATGTTTCATGAGTGTGTACGTTCGTCTTTCCCCTGTGCATGTGTGCACGAGTGTGCATGTGTGTGTGCCTGTATGTACATACGCGTGTATGGATTGGGTTGTAAGTGGTGAAGTGGAGACTGTGGCCTGCTTTAGGGACGGTTTCATTCCCTTGCTACTTGGCAGGGGCGGAGGAGGAACCCTAAGCAGCACAGCAATGGTGAGGGCATGGGGAGCCCTGCTTGGAGGAGAGGAAGTGGCTGCCAGCCTTCGACAGCCGGCAGTTTGATTTGAAGCTGGAGTTTGCTGCAAGTCCCTGCTGTGGTCAGACGCTCCACCACCGAAGTCTTGACTCAGAGGCAGCTTCCGGATGTTTCCTGGAGGAGCCTTCGGCCACCGGAGCTCAATTTCTTCCCTCCTTCCCTCTTTCTTTTTTCTATTACTTGGAACTGAACCCAGATTCTTTGCATTGTGCTTATCTCCCCATTTTTTTTTTTTTTCCATATTTTTGAGACAGGGTCTTTCTAAATTACCCAGGCTGGGCTTGAATTTGAGACGCTCCTGCTTCAGCCTCCCACGAAGCCAGCATTACAGGTAGAAGCGCATGGTTCTTTGGCTATCTACCATCAGCCCAGGGTACTGCTTTCCTGAAAGCTTCTTCACCCAGCAGTGCCTGGAAAGAGACTTTTAGGATTTAAGAAACAAACAAACAAACAAACAAAGTATCTCTATGTTATCCAGGTTGATCACAAACTCTTGAGCTCAAGCGACATCCTCCAGCCTCAGCCTTCTGAGTTAGCTGAGACTACAGGTGTGCACCTCCACTGCCGATTTTAGAATTTCATGTTTCTGGAAATCTCTCAGTAATCGAAAACCTTTTCCAAGTACAAAGCCAGGCAGGTGTTTGTGAGCAGAGAAGGAGCAGCCAAGGGGCCCGGGACCGCGCCTACCATAAACCAGGAAACAGCGTCTCTTAGAGGGGTCAACACTTGCGATCCAACGGATCGGAGGCCAGCAGAGCCCCGTACGCGCTTGTGGGACGCAGGGCGTGTCCCACGCGAGCGCTAGGGGCTGAGTTCGGCCCCGGAGGTAAACAGAGCAGGGCGCAGCAGGGCAGGGCACAGAGGACCTCCGCAGGCGCAGCGGGGCGGGGCCCACGATGGCCCCGCCTCCTCCCAGCTCCCGGCCAATGGGCGGCGAGCGCAGCCGAGCGGGAAGGCGCGGCCCCGCCCCCCAGTGCGCGCCCCGTGGGGCCGAGAGCGCCGAGCTGCGGCGGGCCGGGCTGGGCAGCCGCTCCGAAGATGCGGGATGGCTGCGGAGGCGCCGGCGGCCGGCCTGTCCCACCGCACCACGGGATCCACCTGCCTGCACCCGCTCAGCGAGCTGCTGCGCATCCCGCTGGACCAGGTAACCGCGGGGCCGCGGCGCCCGCGCCCGGAGGAGGCGCCTGGGTGGGTGTCACGCCCTCCGGCGCTGCTCGGCGCGTGGGTCGCGGCGCCGCACACGGGCTGTGCGAAGCGGACGCGTTGGCGTCTTCCTTCTGTGCTTGTAAGCTCCGCGGCGAGCTCTCTTGAACTTTTTTCCCCCTTGAGTTCAAGGCCTCCTCGGGCCACCTCCTTTCTCCCTTTTACTTTTTACTTTCGACACAGCGCCTTGCCAAGCTGCCCTGAATGGACTTGAGCTTTCTATCTTTCTGCCTCGGCCTCCCCGAGTGCCGGACTTACATCCCTGCGCACCACGCCCTGCGGGCCTGAAGTTTTTAAAACACCGTTTTGATTTATAATTAAATTCTGAAGTAGTGTGTTACACGAATTCAGTGTTTCTTCCATCAGGGGAGGCGTGGTTGCTTTTACTTTGGCGATCCCCTTTTAATAATAACCTGACCGATGTATTCAGTGTTGCTCAGCGCTATTGGAAGTGGACACCAGGGGTTAGACGTTAGGTGTGGGACGGGTCCAGCCGGGGTGACAGTTATTTTTGTAACCACTTTAGATGCCTGTCTGAAAGGGAGGAGCCGCACACGGGACCCTGTGGTTTTGTGGAGGTCTGGTTTATTCAGTCTGTGTATTCCTGAAGATAAGCCTGGAGGTTTGACGCACGGGAGCAGGACAGTTTAGTGGTGAAGAGCAGCCAGGAGGAGTTGCTTCCACCATGCAGGAATTATCTGCTACAACTGTAATTGCACACCACAGCCTGGGGTGCTGGTGAACACCTGTTTTCCCAGTGTTCTGGGAGGCTGAGGTGGGAGGATTTAGAGTTCAAACCCAGACCAGAAGACTTACTGAAACTTGTTCCAAAGGAAAAATGTAGCTCAGTACTAAAGGCTCTGGCCTCAATCTCTAATACCCAAAAAGTGAAACAAAACAGGCAAAATTTGCAAATGACAGCAGCAGTCCAGTAAGAAGTCTTCCAGAGTTGGGGCTGGCTTCCTTAGTTTGGGTGCCCCAGGCAGGATCAGGAGTGTGCTGATGCAGGTGGACTGAAGCCCAGCCAGGCAGGGCCCGCTGTACTGGGGCTTTTGTCTCCTGCTGAGCTCCCCTGGTTTATTTCCCCTTCTTCTCACTCCTGCTCCTTTTCTTTTCCTTCTAACCAGAGCGTACCTGCCAGCCTTTCCACTCCCGTCCTTCAGCAATGAGGAAGTGAGTTCTGGCCATTTGCCCTCTAAAGCTACTGCTTACTGCACCACCCACCTGGGTTACCTCAGGGATCTGACCATTCTCTCCCTAAGGGATCTGACACTGTCTCCCCCTCGTTTGCGAGATCCAGAAAATCAGGAACTTGGGAGAGGTGTCAGATGCTAAGGCATTGTAGCTTCCATGTCAGATTGTGTGTTACCTGCACAAACCAAGATAGTTTTTGTGCAGCCTGTCTGAGGAAAGAACTTATTTTATTTCCTCGAAGCCTTCCTTTATTCTGTTCTGGTAACTTCTGGGATCTAGACGCCTGTGTGCCATGAGGTGTACAAGGAGGAGGGGTCTGTCAATGTTTTCTGTTCCAGGGCCTTCTGTAGCTTGGCAAGCTCCTAACAATGTCAGATATAAAATCATTTCTTCAGGTAGAGACAAATGGAGCATAGTGATTTGATACAGAGGTGCCACATAGAGAAGCTTGCTGAAAACAGCATTTGGAAATGAGTCCTTGTCCACTGTGCAGACACGGAATGCCCATGGATAGTTGGCAGTGGAGCTTCCCTTACCCAGGAAGAATTAGGCAGGAGCTTTCCTTTCGCTCTTTGTGAGGAGGAAATTTGTCCCTAATCATCTTCTTGTGCTTTCTCTACTTTGGGTCATGGAGTGTAACAGGATCAGCTTTTAAACCAACCCCAGCCTTCCAAGTTTACAAAATCAACTTAGCCACCAGCTGGGATTCTGCCCTGTTGACCTCATTCATTTATGTGGTGCGAGGTTGTGTATTGGGAACTAGAAAGCTGCAAAGGAAAGAAACTGTGTCCAAGTTTTAAGGGACTTCCACCTCGTTAGTGGAGATTTTGGATGCCAAGGATCGCCTTACCTAGCAGCACCCCCAGAATTTGTGTTCGTGCATGAAGCATCAGTTCAGTTTTAAGCAGGGATTCTTTGGGTTTGATTTTTTTCCTCCCTCTCAATTTAATTCATGCAGAAAAAGGAGGAAGGAATGCAGCATCCAGCAGGAACGCAGCATCTAGCAAAGGATTTTAGAATTAAAGCAGCACAGTTTAGGAGCATTAGTGCAAGCTTGTGTGAAGGGTTAGAAGTGTGTGTGAGTGAAGACCAGCTTTACAGACCTGGCACAGGGGACAGATGGCCACACCAGCAGCGGGCTTTGATTATTCCTGTGGCCTGGGTTTCTCCGCCACATGCAGGTCACCTGGTTGGTTCCCTTGGCCATGCTTGGAAAGCTAACCTCCACTTCTTATCTAAGTCCTGCCCTTCACTGAAAGCCCAGCTCACATTGCACAGTCATTATTAAATCAATTAAATATTTATTTAATCCTATTAGTACCAGGTACTTGACCATGTGGTAGAAATTAAGTATTAAAAAAAAGCCCTGGTCTCCACTGTATAAGAGCTTATATACCAGAGAGGAGAGGAAAGGCCCTTATAAGTATGCATATGGTGCACATTCATGGACCTATGTAGGTAAATAATTTTGGCTTTGTGGCTCAGCCTTTGTCACGTCTCCTTACCCCTGCCTTTGGTAGCATGGGAACAACCACAGGTAATATGTAAACAGGTGGGGGTAGCTGTGTTCCTATAAGCCTTAGGGCCATCCAGATTTTAATTTCATGTAAATTTTGCAGTGTCATGAAATTATCTTGTTTTGATTTTTTCCCCCCAGTCTTTTAAAGCTACAAAGCATGCGTAACATGCAGGCCATATAAAAACAGCAGAGGGCTAGATTTGACTTGAAGGCTAGAATTTGCAGACTTTCACCATGTAGACCATGGAAGAGGTAGTAGGGGTTTTGAGGAGAGTGAAAGTTTATAGTTCTTTTTTTGGGGGGAGGGGATCATCCCCAGGCCCCCTCCTAATAGAATCTTGCTAAGTCAACAAGTTCCCTATACTGGGATCGAACTTGTGTCTTCCCATGTCATTCTCCTGGAGAGCTGGGATTGTAGGTGTGCATCACCATGCTGGGTTTCAAGTGGTCCTTGACTGGATTGCAGGAGGAGCTGACCAGGCTGACCATAAGGGGTTCCGGAGTATACTGGAGCCGCTGAGAAGTATCCATTTTAAAGGCATGAGTATGTGCCCATGTATGTCTTTTCTCTCTCAGCATCTCCTTTCAGGAGCAAAAGTGAAACAGACAGTTGGAACTTTTTCAGACAGGCTATTGGAAAGCTAAGCCTGGTGTTGAAAGAAGCTGACAAGTAGATGGAAGGGAGAACAGCGAGAAGGGCAACATCTAGCGACAGGACTTGGAGGAGCAGGTGCAGAGCTGGTGAGAGGACCAGGAGCTGGAATGTCCTGGGCAAGATTTCCAGAGATGCTTTTCTGGTGAGGGCAGGGCTGAGCCTCTCCTCGGCTGAGCAAGCGGAGGAGCTGGGGTGCTTGATGGCTGCACCTTGAAGCAGCCCGCATGCATTTGGAGGCTGCAGGTGGAGAAGGAGGGACTTGGGTGGTGTCTGGCCGCAGGACCAGAGAGGATGTGACATGCCCTGCCCTCGAGGAGGCCCTCAGCCTGCTCTGCACACGTTTTCTCTTTTCGTGTGAGGAGTGCAGGCCGTCTGGAGAGAGAGGAAAGGCTTTGGGGGAGGATGGTGGGTGAAAGTGTGTGAGGCAGCGGAGGGGTTCTGGAAGAGGCCCGGCCCTTCCCTCCTGACCTTGGCTTTGTTGTGGTCGTGGTAAAATAGGAGCACAGAGAGGTCAGCGGTGGGGGAGGAAGGCGGGGTAAGATGAGTCACGGAGAACCCGGAAGTGAGAAAAGCACATGGCTGCAAGTTGAGATGTGGAGCTGGTGCTGGGCTTACAGGCTGAGGGTGAGCGGAAGGGGCTCTGTGGGCAGAGGTGTCCCCCGTCCGGGGGGACCCCAGTGACAGGTCCAGAGTTTGGAGTTTGAGGAGTTCCTGGAGCCACACTCTAACGGCATGGAAAGTTCCTGAGCTTGGGAGGTGGACCACGGCTTCTGTGAGCGGCAGAGAGCGCCCCTGTGGGTGTGTTGGGGGCAAGACTGACATGGGAGCCTCCCGTGCACACAGCTGCCGGGCGCAGGGATGGTCCAGTTGGGGTGTCCCTCAGCCCCGCCTCTACCCATGTGGCCCACACGCAGCCTCTGGGCGAGCCAGGCAGTGTCTCCTCCATGCCGCAGCCTGGTGGCCTGCCTGGACAGAAATTGAAGGGAGGGCAGAGAGAGGGCCGATGTGGCCACGTAGTCCCTGCTATTTAAAGCAGAGGCCCAGTGTATTTTGTGGCTTTAACCTTCCGGTTGTGAACAACAGTTGGTCTTTGTTGTGTGCCTCAGTTTACTCACCGTGTGTGAGGCCTGGTGTGGGTCTTACACACTGTCCAGCCTCCACTTACTGATTTCTTCTCCCAGGAGCGGTCATCGCCATCACTGGTCCTTGGCCCTATGGTCACCTCATCCTGTCTGCTGCTGTCACCCTGACCTCCATCTCTATCTCCCATAAACCCAAGGAAGTCCTTTGTTTTTCCCCTCAGTTCTTCCCTTTGTTGTTGCTTTACTTAATTTTGTTATAATTTAAATTATAGAAGCGACTGAAGGTTACTCAGCACAGCATCTTCCTATAGTTTGATAAAAGATCAAGTTGGAATAATGACCCAGTTTTATGCAAGGAATAAGGCAGATGAAACCATCCTTTAAATAGATACACTGTGTCTAAAGTACCTGTGGGTTTCTAGAAAGAAAATGTACATTGTTGCTGCCCAGAGACCATTTTATTGACACTTATAACAAATAGTCTGTACTCT